CTTTAGTTGTTTTAGATTCTTTTATTTCTCCTAGATGTATTTGTTTTTTGGTAAAAGTGATATATATAATTCTTGCTTAGAGAAGAGTAGAAGATAGGTATTCTACCCAGATATTGGTGAAAAAAGATCTTGAAGGTCAGGTGATTCTGACAAGGCATACAATAGCCAACTTATAAACTGAGAGGGGTATCAGAGATGGTACGAAATCCTTAGCAAGTTAAGGATCCTAAGGGAGATGAACAGTTGTTATAGCAGGTCGCATTGGGTTTAACCTGGTGAGTCTTTATTAGGGTAGAACAATAAGCTATAAGAGTTTTAATACATAAGTGTATATAAATCATATAGTAGTTCACATGAATAAAGGCAGAATCGCTTAAAAAAAAAAAAAAAATTATTTAATTTTATTTTAATTTATATTTTAATTATATTTTTATTTATATAGTTTAATTTATTTTATTTTTTAATTTTTTTAATTATATTTAATTTTGTTTATTTTATTTTATTTTTTAATTTAATTTTTTAATTTATTTTTTAATTGTATTTAATTTTGATTAATTTATTTTACATTTTAATTTAATTATTTTAAATTATTTAATTTTATTTTAATTTGTATTTTAATTGTATCTTAATTTATTTTACTTTTTTAATTTAATTTTTTAATTTATTTATTAATTTTGTTTATTTTATTTTATTTCTTAATTTAATTTTAAATTTATTTGATTTGATTTTAACTTATTTTAATTTATATTTTAATTATATTTTAATTTAGTTTATTTTGTTTTTAATTTAGTTTAATTTAGTTTAATTTATTTTATTTTTTAATTTATTTTTTAAATTTATTTTTTAATTGTATTTAATTTTGGTTAATTTATTTTAAGTTTATTATTTATATATATACATATATAAAACTTGTATAATGACACTTACACCATGTTAAGATTTAATAATTCATCTAGCAAATGATCTATTTTTTAATTTAATTATTTTAAATAATTTGATTTTATTTGTTTTATTTTTTAATCAATTATTATAAAACGCACCTATGGTGTTTTAGCACCATATATAATTGTATTTAATAAAATTTAGGGTTAGGGTTCGGGTATTAAGAATTTTTTTTTTTTATATAATATAATATAGAGCTAATATAAGGCCCAATCTCAGTTTTTGTAAGGTTTTTTGGGGGTTCTGAACATTTTTACTTAAAATACCCGATCCTGTTTACTTAGTATGTTTTTGAGAAATAGAAACCTAGGTGGTAAAACACCATAGGTGCGTTTTAGTAAAAGTGTATTGCATATATATAATATATATATATATATATATACTATGGTAAATACAGTATTTTGATAAATCACACTATATAGAAAAAATATTGATTTATATAGAATATTTTTTAGCCAAATCATAGCATGATTGGCTATCCTGAGTCAACAATTTCCGTAAATCGCAATATAAACTACCCACGTGACAAATAAATGTAGATCAATTTTTAGACTACAATTTATACACAGATGGTGTATTGTACTGCAGTTAGAGATTTTACCAAATATGGGGAACGTCTAAAGCGGAGGCACATCACGTAAGATAATTATGACTGTGATTGGTCAAAGATAACAAAAATCGTGATTGGTCAAAGGTAATATGTTCAATTTGTTAGCAGTGATTATCAAATTACAAAAAAATTTTTTGAACTTTGGATACATGTTTTTTTTGTTTTTTCGTAGGTTCTTTTTTTTTTTTTTCTTGCAAATTAATGTTCAAACATAAAATTTTAGATAAATTTTATAACTTGGCAACCCGGCTTTTAGAATTTCTTTTTTTTTTTTTTTTTTTAACTTTTTTTTTCTTTTAAAACATAGTTATACATAGTAAAAATTGTAAATACTGTAATGTAGAAAAAAAGTTTTAAAAACAATACTGTAGTGTAGAAAACATTACTGTAGCATAGATAATATATATTTTTTCTATAAAAACTTTGCCAAAACCAACAAAATTAAGTGTGGGCCTATATTTTGTATGTCAATATTTTGGATTTAATAGTTCTCTCTTTTTTTTTTTTATGATTTAAATGTACTAATTTTTTTTTTAACGTTTGAAAGATTTGCAAAAAAAAAAAAAAACAAAAAAAAAAAGTGATAAATTTGCATTTGGTTATGTCTGTTATATCTACTTCTCTTTCGGGTATTGCTTTCTTAAGTGCCACATCTAGTATGTCTCAGGTTGCTGTGAATGCTGCTTCTACATCAATATCAAGCCTCAAACCTGATGAAAAATGTAGTCTTTTTTTAATATAAATGGAATTTTAGAAGTTCCAATAGAGGAATTTGATAATAATTGGTAACTATTGATCTCGAATATCTGGACACAATGGGATTTGCACAAGTATGTGAATGGTAATGTTCGCAAGACTTTTGCCTGCCATTTTACAAAACATCAGACATCGAGTACTCAAAAGATGAAAATATTCTAATAAAAAATGCTGAATAACGAAGACATGACCATCCGGCCTATGTAATGTGAAAATTAAAATTACTTGGTTTGTTGCTTTGAAGATAGTTTAAATAGAGAGATATAAAAAATCCCCTAACCACATGCATTCTTTGTTAGAATGTGATAGGATAAAATAATCAAAGACTATCAGAAGTTTGGTTGAACAAGAAGCGGTTAAATATTATTCTCCTTTAGCAATCACATCTGCAATGAAAGAATATACAACAGCTGAGCTAGGTCTTGGTGCAAGTGTGTGTGAGCTAAAACATAAAGAAGTAATAAACATTAAATATAAGGTTTGTGGGTCTATGGAGACACACCTTATTAGAAATTCGAATTTAAAGCTTGATATCTTAGAAACTATAACTTATTTAGTGGAACAGGGATATCTTGTTGAGGATTATCGTATTATCCAATGATTAGCCAAGGGAATTGTGTTTGCATATCTGGAACAAATAAAAAAACTTGAATGACATGGTTGGTTGACATTAATAGATTCTACACACAAAACCAACAAGAATAACTAGTGCTTGTTCACTCTTTATATCTGTAACACTTATAGCTGCTAGAATATGAAGGCTTACTTTTTTGTGAGCAGTGAAGATAGTGATACTGTGTCAGAAGCTTTGTTAATAATTCGTAAGATGTGTAATTGCTGGTCCTTCTATTATATACTTGCAGATCAAAGTTCCATCAAGGCCAAGAGTATTAAAAAAGTTTTCTGTGGTATAACTACAAGTGAACAGGAATGCCAAATTATACTTTGTGTTGTCCATATTATGAGGATATGGATGCAAAAAATATATAAAAAAAAGACTCAGGATGTCATGATTGCTGCGATGTACAAATAAACAAAGATAGGCTGTGAAAGCCTTGTTCAGGATACAATTGGTCGTTGTTCTGTTCCCACTATACAAAATTATATTAAAAGGAACTATGTAAAGAATACATATTAATAGAGTTTGTAGACCCGTCAACATTCTCCTTTACTTTTACAAGTTATATCTACGAATCTATTAGAATCTTTTTATAATAAAATAAAAAAAGTAACATCTTCATTACATAGTTTAATTGGTATATATAATAATGATTATACATATCACAAAAGTATTTCGGCATATTTTGGCATTGATTTTTGATATATCAAAAATCAATACCAAAATATGCCAAAATACTTTTGTGACATGATGGTAATAATCTTTCTTTGTTTAATTTTTTTCTTTTATCACCTGCTCACCTTTGATTCATTTATTTAGGTACTGTTCATGGTATCGTCGATATTGATTATAAAAAAAGATTAGAGTTAGAAAATGCCACCTTTAACTATCACATAAAAAAAGTGTCAGTATATCATGTCAATAATCATATTTTTGAGGAAATACATAAGTTTTCTCTTCTATTTCAAAATTTACTTGTCAAAAAAGTATGCACAGTAAATAATAGACTTAAAAAAGAAAAAAGTACCTCAGGTTTAACCTCTTTCAATTGTTATTGCTTGTTTTGAAATCGGTATTTATTACCATGCAAACATATTTTTCATGAGCATATGTTTGGCAATAAATTGTTAACTAGTGATATATAGAAGGTACTTCAGGAAATTTTTAAAAAAAGTGGATATAAAGTGTATAAAAGACGGGAATCATTTATAAAATATGTGCAAACTGAATAGCAAAAAAGAGCTGAAAATCGGAGAATCACTATAACGATGATGGAAATAATGATTACGATGATGGAAATTACAATGATGGAAATTACGATTACGGCGATGGAAATTACGATGATGGAAATTATGAAAATTATGATAACGAGGTGGATCATGAGAATACCAATGATTATGATCAAGAAGTCATGTTAAATGATTTACCAGATGAAAATAACCAGCAAGTAGAAAATGAAGCAGAATCAAGCCATGATGATGAAAGTACTAGACCAATTATTATGAAAAGGTAAATATTTATACATTTTCTTTTCTGATTAATATTTTTATTCAATTTTTTTTTTTTTCTAAATTTTTAGACGCATATTTAAGAATCGTGGTAGTCGATTTATTAATGATGATGGTCAATATACTATGCGCGAAGAACCTAAAGGGCGACGAGAAGTTATAAGTGGTGAAGATATGGAAGTCATAGAAGAGGATAAATTTTCTCACATGGTAAACTCTGGATCATATGCAAAAAAACCTCGGAGGAATGAAAGATGGACAACAGAAGAGACTGAACTATTTTACAAAGTAAATTTTATTATTGTTTCCTTTAATTTTGATGACGATGTAGTTGACTTTAATCTTCTTTATTTATAGTCATTGTCACAATGGGGAACTGATTTTGAGATAATCGCGGCAAAGTCGTTCCTTAACACGAAGACACGTGATCAGATAAAGAACAAGTACAAAAAGGAAAGAAAAAATAACCCTGAACGCGTTAATAACGCATTAGATACTCGCATTCCAGTTGGTAAGTTATTAATTACAGCAGTCATATTCAATTTTTATGTGTCAATAAACAAAGCATAATAGTCGCTATTTTAATTATATTATGTAAAGCAATTGAAGAATTGAACTTAAGGGTTATTGAAGAGACGGAAGAACCAGCACCCGATGTTGCAATATATGAAGAACTTCCGGAAGATACTTATCCAATAATTGAAGACGATGATTCAAATTAGGAAATTTGGCAGACAGTGTGGGAGAGATAGAGTTGGTAAAGTCATTAGGTCCGGGACTTTAGGGCCTGGTCTTTAAACCTGGTCTTTAAGACCAAGTCCAAGTGTAAGGACCTAGGTCCTTAGGTCTTTAAAAAGTTCTAACATACAAATTTATAATAGTTTCAAATGAAATTATAATTTATTAAAAATAATAAAATTCATTTCAACTGCAAATTTCTGCTATTGCATAATTCTGAAAGCCTAATCAATATATATACAGCAGTGTTGGCAATTTATATCGGCCAAATATAAATTGGCCGTTGGCCAATAATTGCCTGCCAAAGTCAATTGGCAATTGGCGACGGCCAAATAAAAGTGTTGGCCGTGGCCAACCCAATCGGCCAAGAATTATACCCAATCAAATTGTACATATGGTGTGGGAAATCTAAAACTTCGATTGCTTTATATGACTGAAGATAAGTTAAATTTATCTTAATTAAGTTTAGAGTATACACATGATAATTATATTTTATTTTTGGCATATTATTCCATGTATGTAGAGAATAATTTCCCCATAATGGGAAATACATGTATGTACGTACGTACGGTGCCCCAATATTTATCAGTCGATCGAGATGTCACGCAGATCAGGTGAATACTATGAAATTTGGGTGATCGACACTCATATAAAAAATTCGATTTTCATAGTAAATTGCAACGGTTAGCCATTTTCAATCATTGTTTTTAGGGTTTCCTAAAAGGAAACTACACTCACGGGATGTAGTGAGTGTTCAGAAAGTTAGATATTATACGATTAGTAAGTTTAAAATAAGATAAAAAAATAAAATTAAAAGAATCTTGCTCACAAAGATAGCCTTTTGTTTCATATTTTATAATGCAGTATAATAGATTTTAATATTTCACTGATTAACAAAGGTATTTTTATGTAATATAAATATTCTTAACAATGTTACTCTGATTTTAAAAGTTTTTTAATAAAAAAAGAACAAAGTACTAAAATATTTTTTATTGTCAAGAACAAACTATAAAGATTTAAGTAGAAATTATTATTGTAGTTATTTATACTATATAAATTTAGTTTAGTTATATTATACAAATAGTTAACAAATATGTATTACTGTATTAATAAAAGGTTATCTCTTAAATTGTAACACAGGCAAATTTGCCTGTGTTTTTATTAAAAAGTTTAATTTTTTTAATAAAAACTTA